GCTAGTAGACATAAAAAAATGTTCATCGTTCACCTACAATGAGAGATGCAAACTAAAACTGTTATAGGGACATTCTTTTCCCCCTAACAAAACCACAATGAGATGCCATATCATATCGGTGAGAATGGGCTATATTTAAAAAACCTGCAACCAGTGCTGGAGGATGCAGAGAAACAGGTGGGGCTGTAAACTGGTGTAATTGTAACAGGGTGGTCCCCAGGAAAGGGGGAGGTTCCAGGTTTTCTGCCCCTCCCAAAGGAGGGTGGAGATGAACAGGGAGAGAAGAAGCTGCAGAGGAGACTGAGGAAGGAAGGAAGCAGGGTGGAGCCAGAAGGAGACCTGGAGGAGGCACATAGAGCCGAGAGACACGTGAAGAAACTGCGCTTGCCTTTTGGTCGTGGACTGGGTGATACAGATGTGGGTGAGACCCGTGGGGAGGTGACCATGGTGGTTTTTGCCTTGATTTTGATTTTGCACTTTTCCTTCCAAACTTGTCTGGTTGTTTCTGATGCTTTTCTGTGGGTCCCCACTGGAAGATGCTTTAGACTTATGACAGGCTTTGCGGCCTTGTTCTGGGCCAATCCTGCTTGGGTGGACTTTTACCCACGAGGGGACAGGTAACTTTGGGCGCTTGATTTAGAAACTATATTCTTTGCCTTTCCTGTATTGTTTCCTAATTGTATTAAAGTTCCTTCCCATTAAAGTCTCATATGTTTTGTGTTGATGCGGAGGATGGCAGACCTATTTAGAGCAGGCGGGTTTGGGGGGTCTGGGGTGCCCCTCTCCCTGCCCTTCAACATAAGCACTGTGTAAATCCATCTGGATTTACCTTAAAAAAGACTAGAAATAATGTATGACCCAGCAACCCCACTTTTGGGCATCTAAAGAAGAGTATGAAACCATCAGCACACAGGCACACAAATACATGTTCTACAGTGTTCATAGCAGTATTATGCACAATAACTAGGACGTGGAAGCTGCTGAAATCTGTCAATGGGCGATTAGTTCAAGAAGATGTGACATAAACTCCACATCTTGGAGTACTATTTGGCCATAAGAAGGGATGAAATGCAGCCATTTTCAGCAAAATGGAGGGAGTTTGAAAGAACTTATGTGTAGGAAAGCGTGTCAGAATAACAAAAACCAACACTGGAATTTTACATAGATAATGTAAAATACTTTCAAAAATCACTGAACATTAATCAGCACCGCCATGAGGGCTTGAGGCTAAGGGAGTAGGAGGGACATGGAGACATAAGGGATGATGGGGGGAAGTAAATCAAATATAGAAGGTTATAAATTAAAAAATAACAAAATTTGGGCAGGGAATCTAGCTGGAAGAGACTCCATAGGCCTTGCTTAACCCATGGGGCCAGCCAGCGCTCGCAGGAAGGGATCAGCTGCACCTGAACACAGTGCAGTCTTTCTTTCTTAGAAGCTCTAAGCAAAGACGTGGATATTCACAGCTGCAGGGCTTGGCTTGTTTTTTCATCTTCTCAATCAACTTTATGGTAGAATAATTTGCATAGAATAAAATCCCATCACCCATAAAACTCCCTGGTGCCCTTTAGCGGTCAAAGATAACCACTGAGGATTTCTGCCACCATCAATCAATGTTGCCTGACTTTATGTTAATAGAATCATATATAGTATGCTACCCCTCCCCACTTTTTACAGCTTTATTGAGGTAAAGCTGTAAAACTGATGTAAATAAGCTATACCTGCTTAAAGTGTATGGTTTGAAGTGTAACATATTCCTCCCTCGAAGTTATCACCACGGGATAATTTCAAGGTAACAGAGTCACCCCAAGGAGTTTCCATCTCCTCTTCCCCACCTCAACTATTGATTTGCTTCTGTCACTATAAATTAATTTGCATTTTCAAGAATTGGGCACAGAATCATTCAGCATGTACTCATTTGTCCCTGGCTTCTTCCACTCAGCCCAATTACTTTGATTCATCCATGTTATTACATCAATACTTCAATTCCTTCCTCCCCCCAACAGTTTTTCCTGGTATAAGAAGTGGGCTGCCCATTCATTTATGAATGAATATTGGAGTGTTTTCCAATTCGGCACAAGATGGAAAAAGCCACTATAAACATCCTTAATTAAGGGTATTTGTGAACATAAGTTTTCATTTATCTTGGGGAAATACCTAACACGGGATGGCTGGACCACAAGGTAGAGGTAAATTGAACTTTATAAGAAAATTTTTCCCAAAGTGGTTGTACCATTTTACATTCTCACCTGTTGGCTGAAGTTTAACATCAACCTTCCTATCTCATGGCTTTTGTGCTTGTTCCCTCTTCCTGAAATGCTTTCCCGCTAGTTTGATCACCGCCACTTTCAGGTCTCAGCTCAAATGTCATATTCCAAAGAAACTGTTCCAAGCTGAATTGTGTCCTTTCTAAATTCATATATTGAATTCACAACCCTCTATACCATAGAATGTAACATATTTGGCGATAAGCTCTTTAAAGGAGTGATTATGTTAAACTGACCCTTGCCTCCTACTACGGTGTCCTTATGAGAAGCAGAGGACTCTCACTCAGTGGAAGGATCTCATGAGGACAGAGCCAAAGTCTGTTGTCACAAGGCAAGGAGAGAGGTTTCAGGATAAACTAACAAGCCAACCTTTCAGTCTTGGACTTCTAGTCTCTGGGACCATGAGAAAATAAAGCGTGTTAAATCCTGGGGTCTGTGTGTTTTGTGATAGCAACCCCAGCAAATACTGGACTTTTCCAATGACCATTTAACAAATATTATTACAGCTTATGCATGTATGACATTATATATAATATATGCTTATAGATAAATACTATATTACATTATAATACCGTTTTACACAATAATATATCATGACATATTATAATATTTTATTATTAAATAATTGATCAGGTAAGAATCATCAGTGAATGCTAAAATCAGTAGTGAAAGTCTGATGAAGAACAGGCTAGTCTGGAAATGTCTTCCCACTGATACTAATAGTTACAAAGGAAACAATAGTAACTTTGGCAGATGCTGTCTGGACAAAATGATCAAAGGTAACAACACAATTGGGACAAGCCAATCCCATGTGCCTCCTCATGTGATACAATAAAGCCACAACTTTCTTGGAGTGGTGTACATTTCTGCCAAAAGTGAGTAATGGGAATTTAATCATGAGACAATATCAGACAAATCCATATTTAGGGACATCTACAAAATAACTCCACACATAAAAGAATGAAACTGGATTATATCCTAACTCCACACGTAATAAATAAACTCCAAATGGATTAAAGATACAAATATAACACCATCAACAATAAAATACAGAAAAGAAAAAACACTGGTGACATGCTATATGATATCAAAGGTGAAGATTTTTTGGTGAGTTGACTACTTTGGTAAGGAAAATAAAAACAAAACGAAACAATTGGGATTATAACTAAAGGGGACAAAAGGAAATTTAAGAGGCATGACAACTACGTACAGCATATGATTCCCCAACTGGATACTTAGGAATAGCTACTAAGGACATTATTGGTACAGTTAGCAAAATTTAAATAAAAGAATCTCATCTTTGTTAAGGTGTTTCCTGATGTTCATAATTGTACTGAGATTACCAAGAGAATGCACTTAATCTTAATAAATACACACAGAAGTACACAGGGAGAAGTACATGATGTTTGAAGCTTACTCGAAAGTGATTAGGAAAAACAGTCTATACACATATTATGTATTAGATACACATGAACACACACATATGCAAAAGAGAATATGAAGCAAATGTAGCAAAATATAACTTATTTTCTGGTTGAAAGTATGGGAACTCTTGCAATTTCTTTGTAAACTTGAAATTTTATCTAAAAAGTCAGTCTTTCAGGGCCACACTATAGAAGTGTCCTGTCCCCAACCCCTAGGCACTCTTTTTCTCCCACACTTAACATTGTCAAAAATTATCCTGTGTGCCTATGAAGCAGTCTGCAGCTACTGCAGCCTGAGTGGGATCCCACCTACCGCCCCAACCCCAGAGAGCTGACCCACATGGAGCAGCAGACCTCTGCCGTCTCAGCCAGTTGCTCCCCTCAGCAGTGTATTTCAGTCAATACCACCGTTCTGCTCCCCACTCTGTCTCTGGTGAATCCTCTCACCGCCCCCACCCCCCCACACCCCAGCTCTTGTATGCATAAATAAATAAATAAATCTTTTAAAAAAAATTATCCTGAGTGCTTATTGTGTGCCAAACCCTATCCTGTTCTGAGCGCCTCAGTGAATCTACCTACTGTTCTTCCCATCTTGCAGGTGAGAAACGGAGACAAAAAAGTTAATGAACTTGTCCAAAGAGCAGAGGTTGGCTTTGTCTTCTGCAGTGGCCCAGAACCTCAACCACAGTAGCTGGTCCTGAGCTCTGCTCCTTTCTCCAGCGATTCAGAATGGTGTCAAGCACATGTCAGGCCTTCAATAAACTGCAGCCACTTAACAAATATTGGGCCTCTACCAGGCACCGAAGCACAAAGCAGAAATCAAAATACTTAAAAATCCCTGCCTCCGCGGAGTTGACACTGAGCGTTAATTCTCAGACCCGCATCTACATATTTAGACTTTATATATACAAATACATAAAAATTACATCTAATCCCACCGACGCTGGAGGTTGGGCCCCGTAAGCCCATTTTGCAGAAGAGGAAACTGAAGCTCCCGGCGAGGCGGCGATTTGCCTGCAACCGAGCGGCTAGGCGGAGGCGGGCGCTTCCCAGGCAAATCCTATGAATCAATCAGACCGACCGATCCAATCAACCCGAGCACTTATGAGGCCTCGGGCCGGCAGCCGCGCTTCACTCCGAGCAGCGGGGGCGAGCGGAGGGCGCGGGGATTTGGCGCCCATTTTTTGTCGGCGGGTGGTTCTCGCCTGTGATTGGGCCCCGGCGCGGCGCGCCCGGTGCGCCCGGCGGCGGCGGCTCCGCCGACCTCGGCAGAAGCCCGGCGGCGCGGTCCCCGGCCGCCTCCCAGGGGATGGGCCACCGGGAGCCCCCGCCGGCCCCGGCGCCCGCGGGCGGTTATATAAAGCGGTTATGTAAGGGGCTCGGCTGGCGCGAGCACGTGGAGAGCCGCGGGGGCCCGGACGCCGGGCTCGCCCCCGCCGCTCGCAGGGCCCGCGACACCCACTCCCGCGCCGCCCGGGGCCCGAGGCAGCCCTGGCCCGGGGCGGGCCAGCCCCAGCCGGGGGCCTCCCGGGGGAGCGGGCCGCCCGGAAGTGGAGGGGCGCCGGCCAGGTAAGGGCGCGGACCGCGGGAGGAGGCCGCCGCAGGGGCGACCCCCGCCGGCTCGGGCGCTCGGGGAGGGCGGGCGGGCCCTGGCGTGGGCGCGCCCGGGAGGCCGAACTTCTGGGCCCGCCCGCTCCACCCGCCGCCCTCCGGGACTTGGGCCGGCCCGCGGGGCCCGGCGCACACTTAATTCAATGGACTGTTTACACCCGGGCGGGCGCACGGCGCCCTGCGGGAGGGGGGTCGCGGGGAGAGCAGAGCCGGGGAAAAGGACTCCCACCGTCCGAGTTGCCACTTAGGGCGGGTTTCACAAATTCGGACGGCTGCTGGCCCTTAGCTCTCTGTTCCTGGACGGTAAGTTGGCGGCGAAAGCAAGAAGATTTTGCTTTTCTTTCCGGCCCCCCCTCTGAACCCCTGCCCGGTGGTCTCGCCCTTCCCGCTTTCCCCTCCCCCGTTCAGTCAGCAGCAGTGGCTTCCGTCTTAAAGGGGCCGCGGCGGCCGGTGGAGGAGGAGGTGGGGCGCCCTGCGGCCTGCGCTCCTTCCTCCCCGCCTCGGCCTGGTCGTTTAACCGACTCTTTGGCTCGCAGGTCACCATCCAGGGTCCCGCTCCTCCGCGTCCCAGGGCCGGACGGAGGGATGAGGCAGGGGGAGCCCGGGCGGCGCCGTTGCTGCTCCCCCCGCCGCCCGCAGCCATGGAAACGGGGAAGGAGGACGGCGCCCGCCGAGGTACACAAAGCCCCGAGCGGAAAAGGCGAAGCCCAGTGCCGCGGGCGCCCAGCGCGAAGCTGAGGCCGGCGGCGGCGGCCCAGGCCATGGATCCGGTGACGGCCGAGGCCCCGGGCGAGGCCTACCTAGCGCGGCGGCGGCCGGAGGGCGGCGGCGGCTCGTCCCGGCCGCGCTACAGCCTCTTGGCGGAGATCGGGCGCGGCAGCTACGGCGTGGTTTACGAGGCAGTGGCCGGGCGCAGCGGGGCCCGGGTGGCGGTCAAGAAGATCCGATGCGACGCCCCCGAGAACGTGGAGCTGGCGCTGGCCGAATTTTGGGCCCTGACCAGCCTCAAGCGGCGCCACCAGAACGTCGTGCAGTTTGAGGAGTGCGTCCTGCAGCGCAACGGGCTGGCCCAGCGCATGAGCCACGGCAACAAGAGCTCGCAGCTCTACCTGCGCCTGGTGGAGACCTCGCTCAAAGGTAGGAAGGCCTTAGGCCGCCCGGCCCCCAGGGCCTGGACCCGCTGCTTAGACCGCTCGGCCCGCACTGAGCCCCGGGCCCCTAGGCCTTGGTCCTGGTCCTGTCACCCCGAACTCAGACACACCCTCCTTTCCTGGACCCAGGCTGGTGGCCCTTCTCTCATCTTTGGCTCCAGGATGGGCCCCGGGCACAAACGTTAGCTGATATTTTCATAACAAACGTTCTTTAAGTGCCCACCATTATCTTCGTAAGTGCTCAATGAATGTGAGCCATTATTATTAAAAGATCTAGCATTTTAAAGATCCGTTGGGGGAGTGGATGGGGTTGGGTTCAGAAGAACTGGTGGAAGAACTGCCAAGACCCCTGTTTCTAGGGCCTCTTTCCTCCCAAAGCAGAAAAGAGCCACCCCCACCTCCTCTCTGTCTAGTTCCAAATATACCAATACCCTCTAGTTCTCCTTCCACCGCCACCTCTTCCTAGTCTTCCTTTTATTCTGGGGCTCCCTCCCCCCCACCTCCCAGCCCTTCATCCCAGGCAGTCAAGCAAACTGGCAGTTTTCTAGCCAAGTCCTCTGGGGTCTGCATAATAATAACCCCACAGGTGGGCCTAGAAGCTGTCACTTAACATCTGACATCTTTTCCCCTTCAGTTTACATTCTGAACTTTTTTTCTTAACCCTTTGAGGCTGGTTTTGAAGAGGTTTTTATCTATAGGGAAAAGGGGAAACTATAGTCCTGGGCAGGTTAATCGTAGTTTTGAGGGTTTAGCCAGAGTTAGGGAGTGCTCAGTACTCACGTGTCTTGTTCAGATGATAAGTAGCCAAAGGATCTGTTCAGTGAGGTGAGGACCTATGGGCTAGAAATGTGTGTTGAAACTCCCTCAGGGAGAGGTCACCAGTCTGAATAGCTGTGGTCTGAACACTGCACTAGATTAGATGTCTTCTAGAGAAGTGACTTGAAGTAATAACTTTAAAAGTAAATTCTCTTCTTTCTGTAAATGGAGACACTAAGGATTAGAGGCAAGCAAATATAACTTGATCAAAGTTCATCAGGTCATAAGGAAAGTCAGGTGGTACTTTGATTTTTTTTTTTTCCTTCATTTTTACAGTTAAGTGATGTGAACCCAGACCTATCTTGATTTTAGGTCTAAATCCTTTCAAATGGATAATGGTGCCTTTGAGCCTGAACTTGAACTCAAACAGACCTTGAACAATGTTTGGGTTCTGGGTGGAGTTGAGTAGGACTTTTTTCTTTGCCTGGTGCTTCAAGAACCTATAAGCCCATGTAAAGAGACCGCCCTGTCCTGTTTCAAGTCAGTTGTTTGACAGTAGATTGAGAGGCCTGATCAATATCACCTGTTTCAAGTCAGTTGTTTGACAGTAGATTGAGAGGCCTGATCAGTATCACCTGAGGTCCTTTTTCAAAATAGAATTCCACTTTTTATGCCCATCTCTTCCCCATCCATCCTGAACAGCCTGCTTTCTCTGCAGGGTGAGTATATTTCTTTTGAAAAAGTTCCAAGAGACCCTTTTCACTTACCTGTATTCTATGAAGTCTGCTTCCATTCTCAGGCTCACTGTGGGGGAGAATGGCCTGGACTCCATAGTACAAGCCTGCCTAGGGATATGGGAGTTTGCGTCTACCCTCATTTCATTAAGGCCAGTCTTAAAAAAAACTTCAACCTGGGTTTGAAGTCTTTGCTTACTCTCCCTACATAGAAATACTGTTCAAACTTTGCTCACCTGTAGAATTTGTCAAACTGCACAGATTACAGTGGCAGCGTAGAGTAGTAGTCAGCACCATAGGCTTTGGAGTTAGACTCACTTTGTCATGGCTGGTCTGAGCTGACTGCAGGAGACCTGGGACAGTTGTTTAAAACCCAGGGGGAACAGTCCCTTTATTCATAAGATAGCACCTCTGTCAATAGGGTTGCAGCGCACAGCCTGGGAATGTCAACAAGTACTCCAGATTAAGGAGGAATTCACCCCTTAATAAGTTCAGGCTACATTTTGAATCCTCTTTCCTCCGTCATTTCTCAGGATTTACAACATTCTTGATCAGGTTTCGCAAACTTATTTGACCATGGAGCACATCTATTTCCTTTGTTGTCATCAGCACTTAGCTGACAGAAACACTAGTATTTTCTTCCCTTTTGTGCAACCTAAAGAAATGAAGTATTTTGCTTTAGGCCATGTATGCTCTCTTTCATCTAAGAGTCTTCCAAATATTTGAATCTCTGCTATGGGTCAGGGTAATGCTCTGGGCTGGGAGGCAGCAGTAAGGAGTAACATTGCTTGTGCTTTTGACCCTGACTTACCGATGTAAGTGTCAAGTCTTCTCTGGAAAACTTCACCTGGAGTAATTTGGGTGTTTGTTCTCCACTGTTAATCTTCTAAAATTTAGTAGCAGTCTTAATCTGCCCTAAAGTACTGGGTTTACACATACTGATATCATTCAGAAATGTTGGAGCTGGAAGGAATCTTAAGAGCTAATCTGCTTCAGCTCTGTCTTGAAGCAAAAAGTCCTTTGTAGTCACCTTTTGCCCAGTCTCCTGCAACTTAGAATCATTTTGAAATAGACCAGAAAGTGTTAATCAGTCTTGAAGTCTCTACTGACTCAAACCCACATAATTTTGCTGCGTCCCTATAGTGGTACTTGACGAAAAAAACAAAACACACTTTGCCCCCAAGGAACCTATATTTGAAAAGTTTGAGGACCAGTAGAAGAATTTAATACTAATCTAGGTCACAGGAGGAAAAGGCTTTGTTGGCTCATTAACAAGGACTTTGTAGTGTTACATGCGGTTAAGAGGAATGAGAATCAAATCAGCCCGAAGTTAGCAAAAGAGGTGGGCTTGAAAGTACCATGTTGTTGGACCACATGGGTTCGTAGAGAAGAGAAAATGGAGTTTATTTCACAATTTGGCCAAATAGAGAATTGTTTCCCCTTTGGTATCTCTGGTGAGTACTCAAAAGAAGGCAATTCTGTAGTATTAAGAAAATATTTGATGTTGAATTCACCAATATAAAAAAAGGGGGGGGGATCATCTTAATGTAGTTGGTGTTACCCAACTTTGAAAGATTTCTACATTCTTTCTCTCTGAACTTCAACTGGGCAAGCTCTACCCAGAAGCTTTATGTAGTGAACAGAAGTAAAAAGGGACAAACTTGCCCCCACTGAATTAGTGGTAGCGTTTCAACCAGCCTTCCCTGCTTTTAAAGCCAGATTAAACATCCTGTAAATCTTTTGGTTGATGGGTTGGTGTCTTTGTTTAACTTTTAAGTACTTTACATAAAAAGAGGAGTTTCCACAACAGCTTGCTTTTATCCCCTTGTTTCCATCGCTAAAGGGCTCTGTCCTGAATGCACTGGAAAGTAAATTGAAGATTCCTTCCTCTTAGAAGACTGCAGGTAGTCCCAAGGTCATTGTCAAGCTCAGAATCTGTGCATTCTCTAATACACCCTGTTGACAAATAGCAACAAGTGAGGACAAAAAGCAATATCTAGGACAAATCCTGAAAGCTCATGATAATCATTTTAGATGGTTGGAGAAGCTGGGAACCTAGTTACCCCAACTTGATAAGACACTAATTATTTTCTGCACTCAAAATACCTTAGGTGACTTGACCTGGGTGAGAATACTGGGCTTTGGGGTACTTAAGTAGTCTTATCTATGCTCAGATGCCTCGTGGTAATGGGGAGCCTGGCACTGCATTGGAAGGGATACCCAAAGTTTCCTCCCTCAGGCAAGCAAGGGACACATGCCCGAGTGACCGTGTGCAAAGTCATGAGTGGTGGTATCTCAGAAAACAACAAAGGAGTCTTCTGGGAGTACAGAATGGGGAAGCAGGGCTAGAGCAGGGAGATCAGGGTCATAGCAGTGGATCAGTTGTGGGCCTGCAAGTCTCTTGTCCCCGCCCCCCCCCCCCAATAGAATGCCTGTGGGAACTTAGGGGTTCACAACTTTGCTGCGTGGGCCCCTAAAGAGCTGATGGTGATCTTTGGTTACTCTGACATAGATAAAAGCCTGCATAAAAATAAAATCTCTGGAAATTTACAATACAATAGAATACTGGTATTGACTTCAAATCAGAACCTCTTAGTCTCAATTTCACTGTTAAAAGCTAAGCTTTACTGATTTTGACCTGCTAGATGCAGTAATGACTTTTGACTCACTAGATCCTCACAACCACCTTTTGAACTTGCTACCACAGGTAGCCCTATCGGTAAGGCAGCTGAGGCTCTGGCTCTGCATTTGTTGCCTGACTTGTAAAACAGCTAAGCAAATCACTGAGCCAGGATCCAAGCCTAGGCAGTCTAGCGTGAGTCTGCTTTGTTACCTGTTGCTGTGTTGCTGAGACAAGTAGCTTAAGTTCTGTGTTCTTCTGCTTGTCTTGGTTCTCAAATGGGCATAATCAGATTTAACTGAAACTAATGGATATATTTTTATTGTTTAATCAGTACTTGTGGCACTGCTGATTTCTCCTGCCTTTCCTGTGTTTTGGATGCTAAAGGCCCTCTGCCTCCTTTCTGATCTACCCTTAAATATCTTAAGACAGCCATTCAGACTTCTCTCTTGCTCCAGCCAACCGGCTGCCTTCTTGAGGTGTGCACAGGGAATTTTAGATCCCAACCCCAGGAGAGAGAAGAATAATTCTTAATCGAGAGCTTTGGGCTTGCATTGGCTTTTTATAGTGTAAACTCTAAAGGAGGGTTTAGCTTTCTAACAGAGTATCAGCGTATTTTCAACTTTGATTTGGCCTTTGTTGGTATTCTTAGGGCCAGGAACCTGCCTTGGTCTAGATACAAATTCTATATCCTTACCTGTATGTCTAATCTACATATTCTGTATGTCCTATGCTAGAACTTTCCCTGTTCCTACTCTCTCCAGCTCACAGTTCTCATCTTGATTCATTTCACCCAATGATTTGAGTACCTACTATGTGCAGAGTGCACTGTGGGGAACCAAGTGACTTGATTTCATTCCATTGTGGGTACCCAAT